CACACACACAAATCCGCCAATGCTTTAAAACTTTTTTTTGTATCATTCTCTTGAATAGTGTAGCAGGAATTCCTACCAGTAGATAATAACAGGCTTAATTTCATCATTAAGTTATCTTGGCTTTAATCTGTTCACATCAGCAATTACTTTTAGGTTTTTTTAGAATTTAAAAAGTTGTGCTCCTACATTTTATTATCAAATAATTTCAAAATGTTAAATATACATTATTGTAAAATCTGATGTCAGATATGTTGGCAATTTCAATAAACATTCAAATGACCTGTAGATAGTTGCTATATCCTGCTTTTGTCAAAACACATTTAATTTTAAATATTATTAAACTTTAATCTAATTTAAATACTAAATCTTCCCTTACATACTTTAAATATTTATTTATATGGATAGTATAATATATTTATATTACTTATATTTCAATTTAACATAGAGGGAGTGTAGAAATGGTTGGATTTCACATGCGGATTCTCATTGTTACAGGTGGATGGGTATCACATATATGCAGAGATAAATTCCCATTTAGCAAATATGGTTTTCTCCCACATGGATGCAGGTTTGAATTCTCATTTGAAACAGGTGGTCTGTTCTCACATGGATGCAGGTGTGAATTCTCAATTGATACAAGTGGTTTTTTCTCACATGAAGGTGGCTAAATCATTCACTGATGCAGTGCATTGAATTTTGAATAACACATGCAAATACGAATTCTCATTTGATACTGGTGGTTATCTTTTCATGGTATACAGGTGATTATTTTCACATGGTATACAGGTGGGAATCATCACATGATAATCATTTTGATACAAGTGGAAGCCTATGGTCATTTATTGCTTTCTCCACTGGTTATCAATTAGTCTTTACTCTTGGGTGATGGAGCTAATTTCGGATCCCAGGACAGGATCACCTTCCCCACATTTTTTCGTTCTTGCATCTGCTTCATAGCATCCTTAATCTGAAGACAAAAGAGAATTATTTATTTTAATGAACATACAGGGAGGTTTTAGGCCTTTCTCTTCTGTTGCTAAACAACTTTGGAAGACTCTTCAAAACAACTTAAGAATAATACAAGTTTCTCAATTTTTATCTCCACTGAAGAGGTTAATTACTCATTCTTGTTTTTATGTCTCTTTGTATGTCTTTCTGTCTGTCTTACATACATGTCTTTCTGCCTTTCAATTACCAGTATTTTGCAAAAACTATTGAATGTATTAATTAGTGGCGTGAGAAGAGGCGATTAAAATGAATAACAAACAGCCAACACAAAAGTATTTGTAATGTTATAGTTATTTCTCTTCTACTTTTTACCATATTGTAGTTAAGTGAATGTAGTTTAAGCCAAACCATGTAACTGCTTGCCCAAATCCTAGACTCAGAAATACAGGGGTTGGTGTCTGGCAGGGGATAGTTTTCCACAATGATTGAAATCTTATATAAAGTACCTAGAGGGATCTGTGATCCATTAGGCACTATATACAGTTTTGTTATTATATATAAACAAATAATTGTTAATTATTTGTCAATTTACCAATACTAGCTCAACAGAGGCTGACTTACGTTTTCAAAATGCCATACAGAATCAATCTTTGGTTTGATTCTGCCAGCTTGGTACAACCTTATGATCTCATTCATTGCATTGGTAAGCAATTCAGTTTCCTCAACCAGCCAACCAAGATGAAAGCCAGACACTGATTTGTTCTTCTGCATCATATCAATAGCAGAGAATGATGGACTATTCCACCAAGTCTTCGCAACACTGAGCACACTTCGAGCCTCCCCTTTCATCATGTTGGCTGCTCCTAAAAGACACAATTAACCAACATTTAACATTAAACAGCATTAAATCAATCAAATAATGCAAGGACCATCTATGTCCTGGATGAAGTATATTAATTGATTGATATCAATCAATCAATCAATCAATCACTAAGTTGAGTTGAGATGCCTGCCTTTTAATCCTAGGGTCCTAGGTTCAATTCCTGTCAGAGCAGGTCTTTGTCTCATGACTAAAAACAACTCCACTTTCTAAGCCTCATAAAGAGGCTTTGCTGATAAAAGCATCATCATATTTAGGTTGGCCCTTGAATATCAGCCAGCCTTACAGGGCAGTGTTACACTTTTGGCCAGGGGACCAATTCCTACACCATGAACAAATTTACAGACCATTCCACATATACTAAAAAAGTCAATAATTAGGCCTATTCTTCATCTTTTTTTTTATATTTTGACATAGAGAGAGCATCAATTATGCTAGTTGATGCTACACAGATAGAATCAATTATGAGATTCAAGTTCTGCAGTGTCTGCAATAAGCTTTATGAGTGCAATATAGTCGATGAGTCTCTTCATGAAGTAGGCCTAAATGCTGTAAGTTAAAGGAAAGATATCAACTAATATGTCATTGGGAAATTGATTATTAATTTTACAAAGCAAATTTTCAAATGTTGACAACAGAAAGAAAAAACAAGGCTGGAGTAATTTGTAATTTGTTAAAATTCTAATGGCTACCTTACATCACTAATATTTTATATCTACTAAATATCTCATTATTTAATCTGCTGCGTTATTTCAAAATGACTGCAATCAATAACTTGACATTGAAAGGCTAGACCAGAAGGGAATTAACATGTTGGCTGTGAAGCCTTTTTTCTAGTTCCATCCCATGCTAGTGCATTAAAGGTGCCACCATAATGAAAATTATTCCCATCAACTGTAATGAAACACAAACAAACCTACGGTACTTATTTTCAAGTCATTACTTCTGGGTTCTCCCCTAAACCTCCAGGGCAAGAGTTCATGTTCTGGCGACCACTGTCAGCGAGTTTACGTGCAATACTATAGTATTAGTATCAGACAGATGTGGACATGAACTTGGCACTCTGAGAGAGAACCCTGTTGGGCGTGAATTTACGTCCCTGGCAGCCAACATGTTAAGCCTCCAGTCATCTTCGTCAACTATTTTGATTTTCTAACATAAGGAAGGTTAAATAAGTCAAATTGTAATACATTTTATTTAAAACGAAGAATATACATACCAAAGACAATCAACTTGCCCATTGGACGAAGCAATTCAAAGCCCTTCATTGTATCTTTTCCGGACAACGGGTCAAGCACAATATCCACACCTAAAGAAAATAAAATAATAATAATAAATACATTATTTATAATACACCATTTCAATAATTATCAAAGTGCAATGTAACCGTAATTGGTTTGTTTGTTTGTTGACACATGTTCGTTAGGATTTCAAACGAAAGGGATGTTTGTTGTTATTAAATTCCTCCTGGCGGGCATGTGGTTTTCCTATGTTCATTATTTCTCTTTGTTCTGTTTTTTTTTTTTTTGTATTATTCCGGAATAAATAAATAAAAATGAAATGAAGTTTGTAATATTATTTTTAGTTTAATATTATTGCGTTATTATTATTATTATTATTATTATTCTAATACAGTACATCCTACCTTTTGGTGAAATCTTGCGCAGCTCTACTGCATAGTCCATGTTTCTGTAATCGATCGGATGTGTGACTCCATTCTCTCGTATTATCTCATGCTTATGTGCGGAAGCAGTACCATAAACAGTCACATCGGGAACCGTTTTACACAACTGTGTCGCAGCAATGCCAACACCACCTGAAACCATCAAGTTAATTTAAAGTGCATCATCATTTAACTATCATTACTATCCTGATATTTTTTAAGTTGGGGTTCAAAACATTCGCTGTGCAAGTTCCTTGTATCGTCTGACAAGACAATTTATCTACTTATGTTTGTCTCTCTATGCCCAGCAGTATAAGCACCAATTCTAACTGCTCCACAACAGGAGTTTAGCCAGAAAAACGAAATAGGCCGTCCAAAATGGAAGCCAGAGGACATGGCCCTGAATTGATGGGCAGGCCACGCCCACAAACGGCCATGCGCCTTTCCAAACACAAGAAAAAAAATAGAAAACTAGAGGGCATTTAAAGGTGTTTAAATGTTGGAATTTTGTCTTAAAAGAAATAGTGTTGAATTAGCTATCACAAAGATATTTTAGTTAGGCCTATAGACTGTGCACAGCTACGGTTACTCACATAATGTTTCTAGGCTATGCAGATGCATCTTCATCTCCTGCCTTCTAGTGTAAATTCTACTCTAGGTCCTGCGAATCGAGAGATAGGCCTAGACCTACTGTGTTTTGTTGAATAATAAAATTTAACTTGTGACGTTAACAACAAACCTTGCTTACGGTATTTCATGAATTTATTATAATCAGAGAGTTATGAACACCAAAAATATTATGTCTGGGAACCAAATTTCAAGTATTGTATTTGCAGAGCCACATACATGCGTTTTGGGTGACACAGAACCATCCATTTTCCAGCGGGGTATAAATGTTTTCAACACGACACGTGTTGTAAGTAAACTTTTCACCGGGTAGACAATGGTTAAGCCTACATTTTTGGAAATCCCCACCAAATACTGGTAAAAAAACAACGTACAGTATATTCAATCAATAAAGGTTGTTTTATAAAACGTTAATATGATTCAGCTTTAGTTTAATGTAACATTCAATATAGATTTGAATATAAAGAAATTGATAAAGGTAGAACAGGCCCAGTTGATTAGGCCAAGCTGTCACAGTAAAAGTGGCCTCCTAAATAATTGTTGGCCATCCAAATGACGGCCGGACGGTTCGCTGGCTAAGCCTATGCTCTCAAAGGAGCTGCGGATGTGTTCCACATCCAGTGATCAGAGGTAATAATGTAAAATGCAATGAAATATATAAACAAAGTATTATTATTGTAATGTGTATAACTACAGTCAAGATAGTGCCAAAGTAGATCGACTTAAACAGTAACTCAATTTTCATTAGGATCCTATTTATTAAAATCTTAAGATATAGATACAGTAATTTCTAGTACAGTGCACATTCCAATTCAAGACCCCTCTAATTCTGAGTAACCAAATAACAATTTTCAATATTTTAACACAAAGCTAACCTTCTAAGTGAAGACCGAACCCAAAAACCCAAATTTTCAGGTCTCATAAGTGGTCATGAATTGGATGGCGAACTGTAATTAATAATCTTACAAGCAAATTGCTCCTCATCACAAGAGTTTGCAAGTAAAACTGGCATGACTCACTAACAAGGTCATTGCACTTTTAGGAAGAGTGAACATTGTGTGATGGCATTAAAACAGACATTAAACTTTGAATGATAATGAAATACCTTCTATTTTGGGTTATATACAAATGTCAAATAATACATTGGAAAAAACAGAATTCAGACAATGCCCACCCGCCCCCACCCAGTCTGCTTCCTAAGAGATGTGACTCAAATACAGATGTACTATCAACACCCAATACTACCATACAAATCCTAAGCAGCACAGTGCCATTGTCCTAGGGAAGTTGAGGGATAGTGCCTGGAGATAATAATAATGATGATGAGATATATGATGTCTTCATTTACTTTGAATATTTGGCAGTATATAAACTTATATGAAGAGAAAAATTGTAAAACCAAGGTCACAAAAGAATGAAATCCAACTACATTATATATTTGCTCATATAAACTATTTAAGTTCATGTAATGGCTATTTCAACACACGCTCTCTCTGTTATATCTTTTGAAGCAATTAGAAGTGGCCAGCTGGTGCAACAAATATGCCAAAATGGTCAAATGGTATTTACAGAAATATATATTATGTAATATTAATAATATCCCATACGCAATTCAGCACAATGACGCTGCAAGTCATGGGTTATTCTCCTACCTTTACCTTTATATTTGTCTGTTCTGCCATACACTACTACTACACCATTGATTGGCAGAGTTGTATTAGGTTTTAAATTTATAGAGTATGAAGATTCCTTCACAATTACAAATTTGGTTATAATAATACAGTTGAGATTGTCTGTCTATCACATCATTTTATTGGAAGATGAATGGATGATAGATTGAATGAATAAATGGATGACTGAATGAGTGAATGAATGGATGAAAGGATGGATGAGTGAATGAATGAATGAATGAATGAATGAATGAATGAATGAATGAATGAATGAATGAATGATTTAATTAAATATTGAGTGAATGTAAAAATGAATGAATGAATGAATTAATTAATATATGAGTGAATGGAAAAATGGACGGACGAATGAATGAATTAATTAATTAATGAGTTAATGCAAAAATGGATGAATGAATAAATGAACAATAAAATCACTTCTACAGACTCATATTTTGAATTTATTATAATTGTGTTATGGGACCTTGGTAAAAAGTGCTTTACTAATATTATGATACTACATTACTATCTATTATCATTTAAAACCCCTGTTATTGTGGAGTGTGAAATAAGCATTTCTCAAGTAGTCACAGACCAAGACCATACGCAATTCATGACAATTATTCTGCGAATTATGGGTTAGTCTCCTACCTTTACCTCTCCCCAAAAAAGAAAAAAAGAGGAGAAAAACAAAGGAGAAAGAGGAGTGCACGGTAATCAAAAACAAGTTAATCTTTCTATTTAAATTCCATATAATATGGTCAAGCATTTCTAAAAAAAAAATCTCACCATCTAGTGTACCACTTAATTGAAGCGGCACAACTGCTATGCGTAACCAGGCCCAAACCCAAATTTCATATTACCAATCACACAACACCGAAAAACCACAACCACCAACACCATACTACTATACTGTATATACTGTAGTTAGATATACAATACAATTTACCGTAAATGCTGAAATAAGCGCTGCAGCGCTTATTCGAGAGTGGTGCTTATAACGAAAAATACTGGTGTGGTGCTTTCCATGCCCGTCCCCATGTTACCTATCTCACATATTCCCATAGTTCAGTAGCCCTATCATAGGTCCTACGTCATCGTAAATAAACATTATAACGGAATGTTTGTCTCCATTGTGTTTCATTTTAACACGGTATATCCTTGTATTAAAAATTCAGGTTTCTGCGTCGCTTATTCAAGCATTTACGGTATTTGTCCATCATACAGTAAAACAAATTGCATAATACAAAGAAATAGAATAATATTTTGCATTCATTATTATTATATTGCAATAAATTTAATATCAATAATGTTTTCCAATTATTTTGTTAAGTTGTTGCTGTTGCTAACTTTGAAACAAAATTTACTGCCATGTTTTTAAAATGTTTTGTTTTTAAAAAAATTTTTATCAAAAAAAAACATACTTGAAAATAAATAAACAAACACTTATCTACAAAAAAAAAACACATCACATTAATAATACCAGTCATAGCCAATGTGCAAACTCCTGTGCAAATAAATCCAACATAGAAAAAAAACCCATCTTACCAGGTAATGTAATGTACCTGCAGAACATTATAAAAAATAAATTGCTTTCATCGCAAACTCTAGTTCCAATGATTGTGGATGAAGGAATACATGTTTTACACTGAATTTATACTTTATAATTCATTCCTTAAATGTCAGCTAACCATACTGTGTTAATTATATTATTTAAGCTGTCCATGAAATTTTTCTTTTAAATTGAACATTATTTTTATGGTCGAATTTATGAAATGAAATATGGGCGATACTGTAATGCAAAAATTATGGTAATAAATAGCATGATGCAAAAAATAATTAATAATATTTTAATGACAGTTACAATGACAGTTATAACGTAATTAGATATGATATAACTTTGAAGCCATATGGCAGTGCTAATGTAGACTGTATTAAGCGTGTTTTGTTGAGCAGAATAATTAGCCAATGACCCGTACTGCAGTATTTTGCATCGGTATCAACTTAATAGCTTTTATAATAATGCTCTCAATAACACAGCAATATTAAACAATAGTAATTACTGTAGCATAGCTATAAAAGATAGTTTCTTTAATATTGTAATATTACTGTCATATAGCTACTACAAGTAGTGCTGTAGAGTACTACTATCATAAATTATCATTTCCTTTGTTACCTATAATGTTACTAAACTAACATTATTGTATCATTAATTAAATAACCACTAACATTATTACTATTATTACTAACATTATCATCATCATTCTTTACTACCACTAACTGTGACACTATTTTTATACATGTTATACAAGGTAGAATTAAGATTGAACTAGCAGTTTTCTTTTTTTTTGTTTTTGTATTAATTTACAGTATTTCAAGTGTACTTACTGTACAGCCAAGAATCCCCAACTGAGTACTGCTTTTTTTGTGAGCATAATCCAGATATTTAAGGAATTTTCGCTGTGACGCACTATTCAAAGCTTGCAAGTAAAATATACCATGATGGTTTCATATAATTATTTACCAATTTTAAGTATTTGTGGAAAATAACAGCTGTAGGTTGAAGACAGCACTTATCACATTTTGAAATGTTGTAATTATCGTCTAACACAGGGTGGTGGGGTGGGGGTTATTCACTAAATCAAGAAAAAAATTAAGAATGCAAAACTAAATCCCTATTCCAATTAAAAAAATAATGGTCATACTTGGTATTTTAACCGACTTAGTTGAACCACAGACCCTTGTTGAACTAATTTGCCATCTTGGGGGTGTGGAGGAGGAGGGTGCATGCGCACCCCCTGCCTACACATATAATATATCAAAATTGTACTCACCAGCTGCCATATGTATAAGGACACTCTTGCCTTGCTGTAGATTTCCAAAGTCGAAGAGCATTAAGTAAGCAGTGAGATAGTTGACAGCCAGTGCTCCAGCTTCTTCAAACGACATTCCTTCAGGAATCGGGAAGCATCTATCGGCCCTGACAACAGCAAACTCCTGCCACAAGCCGAAGTCATTCAGGCATATCACACGTGTTCCAGGCTGAATAACAGGGCAAAGTAAAACTTTTATTTTAATTTTTATTTTGTCCAACAATCTCAAGTGGCAACAGCTTCGACAAGGGTCAATTATTTTCACCGTGGATATTGTTCCAACGATTTTACAAAAATCCAAGGTGTTCAGTCTTTCTATGTTAATGCATTATTATGCCGTTGGAAGATTTTTCACTGACCATCACCACAACCATCCCCACCCCGCCATCCCAACATCTTCACCACTCACACACTGCAACTAGGCTACTACTACTAGCACGATATTTTGGTTAATTTAAATGAATTGTGCCTCTCTAGCGCTCCATAAAATTATATACAACCAATAATAATTAAAGAATTTAACATAGACCATATAAATGTATATTACTTTCGGTTGGACAACACCGCTGCCAACTTGTTCAACAACACCAGCACATTCTAGGCCCAATGAAAATGGTAGCGGTGGAAAACCATTTTGAGGCGTATACAAGCCTTGTCGGCAATGAAGCTCAGCGAAGTTGAGGCCTGATGTCTTCACTCGAATAAGAACCTGGCCCGTTTCAGGCTTTGGAATTGGCAGTTCTTGCATAACTAACTTATCATAACCACCATAACCTGTCAGAAGCATTGCACGCATACGTTTATCCTCCATAGTATTAGTAACTTTGCTTGGATCAGAAAAGTCGTTCTCACGATCAATTTGTGCAGCCATGATGTATCCAATTCGACAACAAGTCCCTGGACAAATTAATAAAAATACTGTAATCGTTCGTATACGGTAAGTACAGGCTTTAGCCCACGTACAGTCTGCCTAGTACACGATACGTGTCCAATATGAAAATGTGTGTAGCGCCCTCTGTTCGATCTATATTTAGATCATTACTAAATATGGTCAAAGTAGGCGGAGTTAAAATATCTAGAACAAACTGATTGGGCGATTACTCAGGGGCTGTCCCTTGTCGAAGACGACACAAGAGGTTGGTTTTGCTGCAGCTGCAGAGACCTGTTGTGCAGGCAGGCGTAGAGAACGACACGCGCTTACTAAAAATAGCTATTACATAGCAGTTCATTGGTGAAGACATTGGTGAAGACGGTGTTGTGTAGCGGAGTATAATTTGGTTGTGTGATTAAAATACTAATATTATAAAATTGGTTTAAGTTTGGAAAAATAATTATTTTGTGAGGATGATTCGAAGGCAAAGCATGATGTCGCTAGCAGAGCGCACAAGATGTAGGATTGTAATCGTTGGTGATAGTGGATGCGGTAAAAGTTCTTTGCTAGGCCTTTTCGTAAAGGACGCCTTTCCAGAGGTGAGAAAACTGTCTTAACCTTGTTTTAGTTAGGATCATATATGGAGAGGACCAGACGTAAGCCTTTTTATGCCCTTTATGTCTAGTGCCTACATCAATCTTAGTTAGTGTATTGAATTGCTAGGCCCTAAAATCCCATACAGAAGAAATATAAATATTAATGTTTTATAGACAAGCAAGGGGGTAAATTATAGTAGGTACTACTAGAGGACATAGCTTTATTTTATAGCATAGCATGCTTTAATTAAGTTATATAAAACTCGTCGTAACATTACCCTTTTTCATGCAGAGTTATCGATTGATGCTTGGAATAATCTCCTTGATGAGTTGGTGAATGCACCCTCAATGAATACTTTTAAGTTTGGATTAAATGAATTTTGGAAGGAACATCCATAAAAGTTTTATTTAGGGTAGGAGGCATTTAAGTCCGAGATGACCAAAACTGGACCAGTGCCAGGGGCGGCGAAGAGGGGTCCAAGCTCCCCGACAAATGCCACACACCCCGTCGGGGAAGTCTAGTCCCCCTCCCCGGCTCATTTTCGGGGTGTTTTCTGTTGGAGGTACCAGCCCCGGTCAAAATAAATTTACGCCACCACGAAGGATTATTGTTACCTGAAGAAAAGTGGGTCATATAAGTATTTATGCCCAAGAATACTACAAGTAAGATAGGCCTACATACAACTATATAGGTCATGGCATCATATAGACTGGCCTACTCTAGGACTAGGTCCTATTCCATAGACTTGTGTATTAAAATTCCCACTCAGAAATTAGCTTTGGATAATTAATTTTTGCAAATCCAATTTCATATACATACATTATTATCATTTATATAGGGTGCTCTTTCATGAAGGTCAGAGCACTTTTTGCTTTAAAAAAAATTTGTTTACTAATGTACTGTGTGTGGCGATCAAATACATCTACATATATCTGTACTGTATTGTTACAGTATGTTCAGTAATGATTTTTTCAGTGATTGAGGAGATATTAAACATTTAGGCAATTGGCGGTTTTTTGGTTGATTTCAGATCTATATTCCTACTACATTTGAACAATATGAATCCACAATTGATGTTGGAAAAATACACCTTGAAGTTAACATATGGGACACATCAGGTAAGCAAAAAATACTCATAAATGAAAAACTTTAGCCCCATTTCCAGAGAAAGTTGTGGTAAAGATATATTCTCTGCCTGGAAGCCATGTATTGTTAACATTCCACCAGATTCATGCATTAATGCACACCCAATAAACAGCCTGTAACGATCATGTGATAGCCGACTGTCAACACACGGTTTCAGTGATTTTCGAGAAACTTTATAAATAAAATATTATATGGTGGGCCTAACTGGTTTTTTAACCAATAAATATGAAGCTTAGGACCAAGAATGCTGTAAAACATTTTTTCCAAAGTTATGTTTATGAAAAAGGGCCAGTGTCCCCTTACTGTAGAATGAGCTTTTCCCTATACAAACCTACAGTATATCAACTTTTTAAAGGAAAAAATGTCCATTTATAGCATGAGTCTAGTTTTACAATCCATTTATCCCTTAGCCTTAAACAAATCATTTAAATTACTGTAGGATTTTTTTTTTTTGTGAGAAATGTTGCTCCTACTGTATATTGACTCATTTTACTGTGTTTGGTGTTTGAGTGGTGAGTTAATAATGATGAAAATTTTCACTACTGAACAGTAAGGAAAAAAAATGTATACTATTTGCATACAAAATTTATACTTTACTATGCTCAAGGTTACTGAAGCAATATTTCACTTTCAACTCAAGTTCAATTTACCTAGCAAAAACCACAATGTTTGCATGTATTGTAATTAATTTTTCTTGTTTGTGTGATTTTAGATTGACTCTTTGTATGCATGTTTGTTAATAAACAGGGTTAATAAACATTGCAAACACTTTGACAGACAGTTGTCACATTACTATGTTTGATATTTACAGGCTACACGAAAAATAATATTATAGGTAGTGAGATACTTATGAAATCAAGTATGGTTTCATGAAAAAACCCCCCAAAAAAAAATTCTGCTACATGTATTTGTGATCAAACTCCGAAACACAACCAGATTTGCCCTTTATCATTTTTTTCATCATTCTTATTTTATAATATTTTAGGCCGTTTTATTGTTCCGAATATCATATCTCATTTAACTTGATTCTTGTTTATGTTCCATACACTTTTTTTTTTTATAAGAACCAGTAAAATTTTGCCCAGGCTCAGTGTTCTTATTTTTTGGCCGATTTCAGGCTCAAAATGTTCTTATTTTATTCTTAGTTTACACACCTTTTAAACAAAAAATTATTTAATTGTACGGCAGTATGCACTGTACTGGAATGTAGGTGAAAGTGACCCCACAAAAAATGGCCCCCAAATGTCAGTATAGAAGGTATTACAGTCACAACTATTGCACATAATGTACAGATATAATATTTTGTTTTTTAAAAATATAAACCTCCGTCATTTGAAATTTTACCTCAGCCTCAATTTGTTCTTATTTTGTTCTTAATTTTTAAGCAGTTTCAGCCTCAGTGTTCTTATAAAATGTGTTCTTATAAAAAAAAGAGTGTACAGTAAGTCTGTTTTCCCAAGACGCCAAACAAAGACTACAGTAACAGAAAACGAACGTTTTCTTGCCTTTGAATGGAATGTCTTTCTTGGTTAAAACTTTAACTCTCATTGGATTTTCGACTAAGATTTTATTAAAAGTTATATTAAATTTTATATAAATGAGGGTACTACTGCATTTTTATATATATTTATATTATATATATTTACATATTAAAATCTATTATTATTATAATGGTTGATTTGGTCTTTAGTGTCATTATTTTGATTATGAGAATCAGAATTTCGTTTGTCTAAAGAAGGTGCTACTGTACTCATTTCATCAGTTTTTGTTTTTTGTTTTGTTGTTTTTTTTTGACTAAAAATGTAACATTGACTTTTCAGTATGTTTCTAAATTTCCCAGGGTACTAAATAACCAGACTTCTTCTTGACCAGGTTGCAAGTCTAGTTAACACTCTTTAGTGTGCCGTTGTCAATTTTATACCTTCTTACTTAAACACACAAGTTGAGATTTCAAAGTATTGAGAAAGACAAGAAGTTGGCAAAGGCCATTGTTGGGTATTATCCCCATCCTGTCTTTCGAGTCCTAAGTATTACCTCATTTCCAGTTAAATCCTTTACATCACCTTATTGTTTACAGCTTCAGTACAGTAGTCTGAAAAAAAAAAATTGTTGCCAAACAGATTGTTCTACAGACAGATGGGAATCAGAAAAACAAGTGCTAACTGCTTAGTTACTTTGCTTTTATTACCATTATTACTGGCCAATTTACCTGAATGACTTTAATTAATGACAAGGATGAAACTCATCCCTGAGGAGTGGAGTTGAATAGCTCAGTAGTTAAGATGCTTGCCTTCTGATCCCAAGGTCCTGGGTTCAATTCCTGTCACAGCAGGACTTTTTCTTACGACTAAAACAACTCCACTCCCTAAGCCTCGTAAAGAGACCTAGTTTATAAAGCATCATTTTCATCCTGTAAGTGGCGAATGTACAGTACTTGCTTTTGGATGTGAAGGAAATTCTTATTTGATGAAACAAAAAATTCACCGTCACACAACAATCTTTTGAAGTTAGGCCTACAGCACTGTAATTCAAAAACTGATGGACAACTATACCTACGTCATTGATCATTTTTGGAATTGCGCAATTTTTTATTATTATTAGGCCAAAAAAAAAATGTTTGTTTGCCCTCCTTCAACCTTCCCCTAACTCGCTGAAAAAAATACGGGCTAAAAAGCATAAAAAAGGTTTTTGTTTTTAGCTTTTTTTTCTTTACAAATTAAGAAAAATGCGAGTGAATTTATCTTTATGTTTTTGCCTGATACCCTACAAATTAGTCTAATGTTGTTGTCTGATGTAAGATATTGCTATTCTAGGCCTCTGTGGGTTATTTTTATTCCATCTGATGAGTATTTTGTTTTTAAATAAATTAAAAAATAAACTTTTTCCACCTGCCCCTACAGTATTTATCATTTCAAAAAAAAAAAAGAAGGGCAAACAAACAATTTATTTTATTTGGCCTTATTTACAGTACAACACACACTCACACCAACCAATACACACATACTCGTACTGTACATACTGTAGGCAATATAGTCTCATCATGGAGATCTCACATCTACTAGTAGTACTGCGGTAGCCCAGTTTATGGTAAATATCAGGCCTATTGTAAACACCCACAGATATTCGTTGCTTATTGTATGAGAATGGTTAAATTTCTATATCTGATTTTCTTTTTTGAAAGTTTCAATAATGGATACTGTAGTCCACAAAGTAAGGACAGGAATTTTTTTTTTATTTCACCCTATATTTAGAGGGAGATCCATTTAGACTTTTTGAGTCATATTGGACTTTGTACCTAGGATTGTGTTTACCCTGGAGTATCATCAGAATTCCAAAATAAAGCACATTGAACCGGTTTTTTAAAAGATACAGTATTGTGAAATGTGGACAGAAGATATGATTTATTTTTAGCAGTGTTGCCCTGGCCGGATCGAAATCTTTGGCGGACCGGATTTGGCCCTTGGGCCGGAGATTGAATACCGGGGCTTCAGTACATAAGCTTCAATGGAGTAAGAAAAGACTCTAAGAGCACCACAGGGTCACAAGCTTTGTAATTAGATAGGAATATTTATTTCTCCCTGACAAATGTAATGTTTAGCTCCTTTACAGGGTTTTAGTTTGAAACAAAATTCCCACTTCCTATAGCTATGATGAAGAGCTACTGTAGAAACCCATCTTTTCTCATCCATATTGTTTTACTTTTTTTGTTGATGGCTTTTGTTGTTTATTTTTGCTTTGTATCTTCTTCATCTTATTTGTTTCTTTTAATTCAACTTCTATTAGACATTTTTTGAAAAGCGCTTAGAGACCTACAGTAGTTTTATATGCTATACAAGTCTACAAACATTACCATTTTACCATCGCAAAAGATACTTATATATTGATCTATACCCTACTGTATATTAACATTACAGTTTTGATTTTCTAAATTTATGGACAAATTGGTGATTGAGAGATTGGAAGTTGTTGTTAGTGCAAAAAAAAACTGACATGTGGTAATTGACAAGATTTATTTTGCCCATGTGACTTTCAAGGGCACTTTCAATTATTGTTCTCAATTAGTCATAAATCTAAATCCAATCATTAATTTGACACACCAACTTGTGGTTGTGGTAGTATTATTAAACTTATAATTAAAGGAATGATCATATTCATTTAAATTTACTGCAGTACAGTATTTGCGGGTCTCAGAACTAGAGGAAAATAACTGAAAGAAAACTTTTGGTTTTTACCTGTCTGTAGATTATAAGGAAAGTGAAGAGGGCAAATATCAACTAAAGGGATTATGACATATTTATTTATGTCTTAAATCCTTCCTCTTCAAATATATGATATGACATATTTATTTATGTCTTAAATCCTTCCTCTTCAAATAGTTCAACTTCTTTCCAACATCTTCCAGTGCCAGTGACAAGCCAGTTTTTGTTTGATTTAATAGGCGCTTTAAAATGTTTATTATTTAAAGGTTTTTTTTCTGTGATTGTGAAAGAGTACACACTGTTGATACACCTCCCCTAGCATATTTTTTTCCCTCTTGTGAAAATGATGAAACACGGATGATCCCTTAAACTCTGTTTTTCTTGTTATGCCTCATTAAATGTCTACAAATTTAGTTCCTCTCTCCCAGAAGAAATGTTTATTATTTCCTTGCATCCTGATGTCTACTATAGTTTTGGTTTTGATGATTGGAGATCTTGTTGAAATCCTGAGTTAGAATCTTAAACTTAAGATCCTAAAATTTCATTACTACTATGGTGACAGGATTAGATTACTGTTTAGCGGTATCTCTGTTCAGGATTCCACATGCATCAGAATGTAGTATAGTATTTGCGATTGAAACGATTTGGTAGCTACAGTATAATAAACATGTCAATGACATTACACGTTGCTAAGAGGTGATGACATCATTTCAGATGTACAGATATGTGTGAGGAAACATCCTAGAGAGACTTTTGAACTTCGATGACGTATG